AAGATATACACACTGTATTGAAAGTTAGAAGTATTAAATCTATAAAGGCTTTAAACGAGTACACAGAGGTCATGTGGTTGGTCAAATTTACCAAGCCCATGTTAAAATAGTTAATAGGAAAGGGGACAAATCATAAGATAAAAGAGAAAGTTGCAAGATGCTGCAAACCTGAGTATTCAATTGTATGATTGGTGCAAATCAAATTTTTAACACATTTTTTTTCTAATTTACATTTACACCTTGTTATAGTCTTCTTCACCTCATAACTGTATTTCTTTATCTAATGATAAAACATTGTAAATTTGTGATAAACAGACATTAACATTACATTAAAGGAAGCCATTTTTAATCTTCTTGCACTTAACAGCTAAATTTAGTTAATCAATTGGTCTAATGATTAGGGCTTAATTAAAAACCATTTAAGGTAGAATGAAAACTATAAAGGAGTGACATCAATCAAACTACTCTGCTTGTATTCAGAATTAAAATTATAAGGGTATGTTTACATGAATTTTACTTTTCTTTCCCAATAAAATAGTTCTTTGAAAAAAAATTTCCTTATTTTATTAATAACAGAAAACAATAATTCTCATTTTGGCACCTTACTATGCAATGCTTGTTGCAGTTGAAAGAACTGCTAATTTCACCCTTCCTTAACAAGAAAGGATATATATGTATTTGAGAATATTCAGATAAATTTTTCTAGACTTTAGTGCAGTTGTTCTACAATAATAATCAGGTATATTTTTCTAGATTTTTAGTGGAGTTTTTCTGCACTAATACTGTAGTTTATATAAAGATTATATACCACAATTATTGTTCAGTTAGGTTTATACTTTTTCTGTGTCATTGATTTAAGGTGAATATCTTCTAATGATTGAACTAAAAATTATTTAAATATAATTGTTCCTGTTTAAAAAGAAAGAAGAATAGTTTACATTTTAGAAACAATTTTATATTTATTTTTCATATAAATAAATTACCATATTTTTCTTCTGTCAAGTACAGGTACTGGGGGTTAAGTCTAATATAAAACAATTTTCAATATACAAATCACTTAGTTGTGATACAAAATAGCCAATATAAAGTGTTGTTGAAACAGGATGCATCAGTACTATATTTTTACATTCTTTGGCATTTTGTGGGTAGTTTGATGCCACTGAAAACTGATTTCTTTTCAGAAGGATATGTTACATTCCTTTCTGACACTAGATAATATTTGTACACTAAGATCATAAAGATGTGTCCAAAAGCTAGAATTTCCTTTGGACTTAATGGCATTGGAAAACAAAGGAACATGGAATGGATCAACTTATGGTACCAGTACCATCAAAAAAGTGACTGGAATTAAGTTGTAACCCCCAGTCATGGTAAGTAATTTGTGAGAATCCATGAACATAAAAGTGGCAAAAGCTCTCTGCATGTCTCAGGAAACAGTACATAACATAATAAAGAAGGATCTCTCTACATAAAAATCAACACATGTTGTCATCATATACCAAGTTGTTTCCACAGCATATCCATGAATATAAAAATCAGTGACAAAAGCCATCATTGTGCCCCAGGCAACAAAACACAAAAATAATCAAGAGGATCCTCCATCTTAACAAAAAAAAAAAGTCATAAGTACACAAGCTGCTTCCAGGGTTATCTGTTCAATTGGTAGTGCCTATTGATTTCTGTGCAATCAGACTGTTAGAATGAACACTGGGAAACTGCCAACCTCATACTGTAGATGAACTATACAAAACATGCTGGATGAAATTTTGTGCTTTCTGCAATGGAAACTACAATGTAGGGTTATAGTCAAGATTAATGGTTGTCAAACAGAGCATGAAAGAAAGGGTGACATAGGCTGTAATGATGTGATGAGGCTCCAAAATAGTTTTAATATAAAGTATTCAACTGCTGTGAGTGTATGTGTATATAAAATAACATATTGAAATGCAAATTTCAAATAATTACATTCATGTTCAACTATGAAAAAATATTGCAAGCTATATTAGTTTGTTTCAATTAATGAATGACTTTGATTAGAAAAAATACAAAAATAAAATACAGCTGCAGCATGATAAAATCTGAAAATACACATGATTAAACAATATTGTTTTGACAAATGTGCTCCATACTAAACATTTTGTTTTTAATTTATGCTATATAATATCATGAAAAGCAAAAATGACTCAGCATATTCTAGGCCTATTTCATTATTTCTGACATAAAATAGTCTTTGTTGCTCATCTACACGTAAAAATCTATATTTGAAATAATTCACATGAGATTTAACAATTCTTTTTTCAAGATTGTTTTAAGCAAAAAATTAAAAATTTACCTTCTTGTCTTTTAGACTCACATACATCATGTTTCTTCAGTTGAGATGATAAGGAAGACTTTGTTTGACTTGAGTATGGCTGATACCTAGATGGAGGTGCTTTTTTGGAAAACACATTGATGGTAGTGCCTGAAGAATAATCAGAAGTGCCATTAGCTGAGTTGTATCCAGAATCATCAGGAATATTCAAGTTAGAATACTGACACTGAGACTTTGATCTGGCTGTCTGTTTCCTGATTAAAGAAAGATCTTCAGTTCCTGAACAGGAAGTACTGCCTGTAATTACATCCTTTTTCTTTACAGATCCTCTTTGCAATTTTCCTATTACTAATACTTTACCATTTTTGCTTTCTTGTGATTTTTTATACACAGGCTTACTTAAAGAGTTGTCATTTCCTTCATCAGTTTCATCATCACTTGTGATTACATTTCTTTTGTTTGCATGTTTTCTTCTTAATCTTCCTGTAACTGATACCTCATCATCATCACATTTTACATCTCCTTCATTATCATCTACAGTGATATTCCTTTTGTTTACAGGTCTTCCTCTTAATCTTCCTGTTACTGATACTTCATCATCATCACATTTTACATCTCCTTCATTATCATCTACATTTATATTCCTTTTGTTCACAGGTCTTCAGTAACAGGAAGATTAAGAGGAAGACCTGTAAACAAAAGGAATATCAACTGAAGATGATAATGAAGGAGATGTAAAATGTGATGATGATGAAGTATCAGTTACAAGAAGATTAAGGAAATACTCTATCATCATCACATTTTACATCTCCTTCATTATCATCTACAGTGATATTTCTTTTCTTTACAGGTCTTCCTCTTAATCTTCCTGTTACTGATACTTCATCATCATCACATTTTACATCTCCTTCATTATCATCTACAGTTATATTCCTTTTGTTTACAGGTCTTCCTCTTAATCTTCTTGTTACTAATACTCTATCATCATCACATTTTACATCTCCTTCATTATCATCTACAGTGATATTCCTTTTCTTTACAGGTCTTCCTCTTAATCTTCCTGTTACTGATACTTCATCATCATCACATTTTACATCTCCTTCATTATCATCTACAGTGATATTTCTTTTCTTTACAGGTCTTCCTCTTAATCTTCCTGTTACTAATACTCTATCATCATCACATTTTACATCTCCTTCATTATCATCTACAGTTATATTCCTTTTGTTTACAGGTCTTCCTCTTAATCTTCCTGTTACTAATACTCTATCATCATCACATTTTACATCTCCTTCATTATCATCTACAGTTATATTCCTTTTGTTCACAGGTCTTCTCCTTAATCTTCTTGTAACTGATACTTCATCATCATCACATTTTACATCTCCTTCATTATCATCTACAGTGATATTCCTTTTGTTTACAGATCTTTTTGATCTTTCTCCTTTTGACACTTTCTGTTTACCTTCATTTTCACCATATGCAGGTTTAGTTATTGTAGCCTCTTTAATCTCACCAGCTTTGTGACACACAAAAATATTGTTACTTTCTTTCAATAAACAAATTCTGCTTTCCACATTTTCTTCTCTGCTATCTGATAGTGTCTGTTTTAATTCATGTTCCTTTTCATTTGAAATTTTTTTTAGTTGTATACTTACATTAGAAAGAGATAATTTATTTTTTTGTAGTCCATTCCCTCTATCTACTCTTACGTCTTTACCAACATTTATATTATTTGTTTGACAACCTTCCTGTTCTTTTTGTCTCAGTGCTGGTTCTGCTTCATCTATTTCTGCATTATTAATTTCTTCAGTTACAGGACTCAACATCTGTTTGCTTTGATTTGTTTGATACTCACATGAAATTCTTTTAACAGTTTCCAGGTTTTTTAGTGATACACTAGAGGAATGTTCGTTTTCATTTTCTTCAAGAACAGGATGAAAAATATTTTGAAACTGATTGTTACTTTCACATTCTGGCATGTCATCAGCAGCATCATAGTTAACTGTACTTTCTTCCTCTTTATTTACTTCTTGAATTTCTACCTTGGATAAAGAGTAAGACGTTTTACTTTTTAATCTTGACTTGGGTAGTCTGTATTGTTTTAATGATCTCATTACTTCCTCTTTCAGATTGTAACTTGCTACATCAATGTCTTTCAAAACATCATGATTTATCTTTTTCATCTCCACTACTTGTGCTTCTTGACTTTGGTTTAAAGGTCTTAAATTCCTCTTTGTTTCCTGGAGATATGTTTTTTTACTCTTTGATTGAAGACTGCTGTTATAGCCTAAATTGCCTTTATACTTAAAAAAAACAAAAACATTTGACATTAAAATTTTATTTAAAATTAAGTTTCATAAAAACATAAACAATTTCTAATTTCTTTATTCCAACTTTTTACTCTTGTATGATTCAAATTTTCTTTTCTAAAATAACTATTACAACTATTTACTAAAACACAACTATATAACCATTTAGACTTTTATGATTTTACAAAAAAACATTGATCAAGACTGGAACTTCACAGTGTTACTGAAAAATTAATTTCCTCCTTGACTAAGTTAAAAAAACTGGAATATATAAAATAGAGTGTGAATGTGAAATTATTTAGATTGGTCAGACAAAACGTAATTTAAAATACCGCTTAAATGAGCATAAGGGATATGTAAAAAAAAAATATTAAAAACTGAAAATTCATCCATAGCAGAACATGTACAGGAAACACAACGCACAATATTATGGGAAAAAAAACTGTAATATTAGTTCAACCTAAAAGTATAATAGATAATAATATTCGTGAATCGTTAGAAATAATAAAACACAAAAAAGATCATGTTGTATTAAATAGAGATGAAGGTATGGCAAATATTTCTGCAAGAATGTGGATTAAACTCCTTTGAATGGTTTAGCGTGAATGTATGCAAAATAACATACAGGTCAATGACCTACTAACATGCTATAAATACTTTGGCAATTGTCTTGTAATTCACTCCTGAGGATGACGTT